AGATGCAAGTCAGGTTGTAGATGCAAGTCAGTTTGTAGATGCACAAGTCAGTTTGTAGATGCACAAGTCAGTTTGTAGATGCACAAGTCAGGTAGATGCACAAGTCAGGTTGTAGATGCACAAGTCAGGTTGTAGATGCACAAGTCAGGTTGTAGATGCACAAGTCAGTTTGTAGATGCACAAGTCAGGTAGATGCACAAGTCAGTTTGTAGATGCACAAGTCAGTTTGTAGATGTACAAGTCAGTTTGTAGATGCACAAGTCAGTTTGTAGATGCACAAATCAGTTTGTAGATGCACAAGTCAGTTTGTAGATGCACAAGTCAGTTTGTAGATGCAAGTCAGTTTGTAGATGCAAGTCAGTTTGTAGATGCAAGACAGTTTGTAGATGCAAGTCAGTTTGTAGGTGCAAGTCAGTTTGCAGATGCACAAGTCAGTTTGTAGATGCGCAAGTCAGTTTGTAGATGCACAAGTCAGGTTGTAGATGCACAAGTCAGGTTGTAGATGCAAGATAGTTTGTAGATGCAAGATAGTTTGTAGATGCACAAGTCAGGTTGTAGATGCACAAGTCAGGTTGTAGATGCGCAAGTCAGGTTGTAGATGCAAGTCAGGTTTTAGATGCAAGTCAGGTTGTAGATGCAAGTCAGTTTGTAGATGCACAAGTCAGGTTGTAGATGCACAAGTCAGGTTGTAGATGCACAAGTCAGGTTGTAGATGCACAAGTCAGGTTGTAGATGCACAAGTCAGGTTGTAGATGCACAAGTCAGTTTGTAGATGCACAAGTCAGTTTGTAGATGCACAAGTCAGTTTGTAGATGCACAAGTCAGTTTGTAGATGCACACGCCAGTTTGTAGATGCACACGCCAGTTTGTAGATGCACAAGTCAGTTTGTAGATGCACAAGTCAGTTTGTAGATGCACAAGTCAGTTTGTAGATGCACAAGTCAGTTTGTAGATGCACAAGTCAGTTTGTAGATGCACATGTCAGTTTGTAGATGCACATGTCAGTTTGTAGATGGAAGTCAATTTGCAGGGAGCCTAATAGTTTTAATAAATCGTAATAAGTTGCAAATCAGTGAGGTACTAAATAGTTATGTTATAAGTTCCTGGGATTGCACCATTGAATTATGGGACATCAATGTTTTTATTGCCTGCACTATGCCTGTGTTTTGTTTAGTATTGTGACTTTTAACCAGTAAGTGGCATTAGGTTTGGGTTATAGGAAAAGGGTTCTTAAAAGAAAAGCTCTCACTCTCTGGGATTGCACCATTGAATTAGTGTGTTATTTGCTCTTTTTTAATGTTTTTTGTTGATAATTGTATCCAGTATGTAATTTGCTGCAAGATAAACCTGTTAATAAGATATCAATCTAAATCCCCTTTTGCTTGTCATTTGGATGATGACTAATTGGAGCGTTTTGCGCAGAAATAATTATTGCGTTCACGCACAGCTCCTTAGCATGGGCTAAGAGGTCAAAAAGTGTGCGCGAACGCTTAGCCCAGAGCTAAGCACCCTCTGAGGCGACCTTTGGGTGTAGACAAAATAAATTTGGTTCGCTGTCTACAACATGCATTAATAAAACTCTGTATTCTGTTACGCCGTTGTATACTGTTTCTGTGCATCCAAATAAGTTGGATCTGTCTTCTCTCGCATTCCTGTGCACGTCGCTTCAAAATTAGAATGAAACATGCGAATAGCAGAAATAGAACCTCGCGCATGTCGCCCATTTTCTGTTCGTAAATAGCGGCTTGCCAAAGGTCACTGACTGATGGCGCCCCTTAGCCTGTGCTAACAACTGGACGCAATTGGGTCTAGCCGAAATGCAAATATGCTAGATAAGCCTAAATCAGCTCAAATCTTAGCCCATACTTCGTGTAACTTAATGTGTGTCATTATTCTTATGCGTGCATATAGAATGGAGGTTGCTGTACCACGTACGTTATCGGGAATACATTGTTTGTTTACGTTGTTTTTTAATCTGATAGTCAGTGTAGTTTTTTAACCTCTATATGGTTGTTGATAAAGGTCCTGTCGGTTGCTACTTGTGATAATGTTTGAATGCCATTGTTTTTACTACTCATATGTGTGTGTGTGTTTAGCTCAAAGCGTTTAGGCTTATATTGCTCACAGTACTATGTTGTAACCATCATATAATTCTGGTATAGCTTTTCTTTAATTGTACATGTTTTTTAGTCGTGAACGCTTGGTTCTCAAAATAATATCCAAATGACAATTTTTGTTCACCATATGCACATTATTTTATAGAATGAGGAGCGGTATTGCTGAATTCAACGAAAGCACATTTTGTTAGAATATTGTTTATGTATCATAAGAATTTACAATGTAAAAACTATTAGAGTATGAAGGAAAATGGTTAAAATCAGGATCTTCATTATTAGCTCCGCTCGGACGCAGTCCGAAAATGGGGACATATGTTTGATCTTTGTGTGTGTGTTCATGTGTTAGTTTATGGATGGATTTTGTTCAAACTTGGTACGTATGTTGGACATTATGGGACCTTGATGCACATCATTTTATTTTTCAGATTCAATTTAAAACGACCATTTTGTTTGAATGAATGCAGTTCTAGTGCCATATCTCTGCCATGCTTTGACTGATTATGATCAAATATTAAATATTCATTATACATCATGACATAGATATATTGGTTTGACTATGTGATTCAAAATGGCCAAATGGCAGCTATTTTTGTGCTAAAAAATCATCAAAAATCAAGCATTTCTGGCATTCCAGAACTGGATCTTGGCGTTTATGGATGTATTTTGTTCAAACTTGGTGCATACATTAGAGATTATGTGTTACTGATGCACATCATTTTATTTTTCAGATCGGATTGAAAATGGCCATTTTGTTTAAATGAATGTGCCTCTAGAGCCATATGATATGCTTTGGCCGATTATGTTCAAATTTTATATATTTGATTTACATCATGTTATAGATATATAGATGTATTCAAAATGGCCAACTGGTGGCCATTTTGTTTTAATTAATGCTGTTCAAGAGCAATATTTCTCAATATGGACAAGTATTCGTTTGACGATCACATACAAGATGTCAATCATTTTAATGTCATCATAATCAAGCATCATCTTCTGGATCCATACTTTTGACATGTTTATATTCCAACTATATTACTTCAAACAAAACTATATATCTTAAATTTGATAACTAACGGGAACTGTGCCATGCGTGGCTTGTTATTTGTTGTTGTCAAATTTTTTGGATTATACGCACCTCTAGATGTGAAGCATTTTCTGTTGTGTTTTTTGCATAGGTCAAATATGTTATTAACCAATCAGAATTCTGTCTTCTACTGACGTAATTCTCAGAGGATTCAAAAATATTGTCAACGACCCTATTTTAGCAAAATGCAGAAGTATTAAAATCATCGATATGTTTTGGTGAAATAGGATTTTTTTTAAAACTGGTATATAGTATGGAAAAGGTAGTTGAATAACGTCTTCAACACTTGTCAGCGGTTGTCGGCAGTCATTGTCAAAGCATTCACATCGCATTGTAGGAAAATGAACTGGTGTTAGAATAATTTAGATTCATGATTTTTTTTTCACTTTCAGTCAATTTCATCACAGGAAGGCACTGGGAGTAATCTTTCTATTGAGTCCCCGCTCAGGTAATAATCTACTTTCATGTACTGTTGTTGATTTCAACTTCCTTATTGGTGATGTTTATGGTGCAGCAATGTCCATGCTCAATTGCATGTTACATTGGTTTGATGTGATATTATTTAAATTCATACTGAATGATTAGAAATGATATTGACTCTTGTCAAAACGAGGGTCAATGATAACCAAGGGCGTACAGACATGCTTGTATGTATAACAATATTGTATGTATTGGTGCATGATGGTAGTTGATTACCATGTAGTGTAGATTCCAACACAATTTTAGGATGCATAGTGGTACAAAGGCTATGACTTTCGACACACAATCGGAGGGTTGTTTGTTTGACTCTGCATGTTTGTCTGTACAAGCTTCTTGTTAAGTTGCGTGTTGTTGTGTCAAAAAAGGACATCAAAGAACACGATTCGGCAAAAGAATTGCACATTCTAACATGCCATGTTTTGTTCAATAGGAGTAGACGAAGTAGCAACTCAGAAGAGTTTTGTTGGCGTCCAGAACAACGTCCTTGGAGCAGCGTTGATTCAAGTGGTTCAGAACGTCAAGTCATCCCTGTGGTAACCAAAGCGAGTAGCTTTGCCGGAACTGGCATACACTCGGTTTTGTTACGAGGGGACAGTAGCGGGAGTAGTTGGAGCGGTGGTAGCCGAGGAAGCACAAGTAGTTTTAGTAAACTTACCAAAGTGGGTAAGCACCCAGGTAAAATTAGCATATTTTATCAAAATCTCCTTGAGCCCACTTAGGTCAGCGAGAATTCTACAATCCGCACCACATAAGTGCGAGATTTTTTTTCAGTGGTGGATCCGAATCGGTAGGCCCAGTGCTAATTTGACAGATACTCATGCACCTATTTTAATGGTCAGTTTGCATGCCATCCACACTGAGCTGTATAACAGTTTTTTGCATATTCTTTGATTCAAGATCCAAAAAATCTTGCACAGGCATTGTGTACCTGCTGTGCCTTGCGTGGTATGCAATTTTTCATGGCTGATAGTACACTTATATTTTTATTTTTAGTATATTTTCATCAAGGGAAGAAAAGGAAATTTTCTCATTTTCCTTTTTTCTCCAATTTTTTTTTTTTCTTTTTAACTATTTTAAATAATTAAGTCTGCATTTAACCAAGCAAAGCACAACTTGAAATGTTTGAAATGTTCTTTTATTTTAAACACAGCTTGTTTCTTTCTAATCTGACTCTTTCAATTTTCAGCATGTTATGACCAGCCTCTCATCTCTAACACGTCGTGTAGTTTCTACACAACTTCAAAACTCCTAAAAAAAAGTAAATATTCTTTCAGTATCTTAAAAAATAAGTAAATAAATAAAATAAAGAAATACCTCTCCCCCCTTCCCCCCTCTCCCTTTCCTTCGTCTTGAAGTAGATTCCCTGATGATTGGCTGGCATTATTTGTTCTGTTTTCTGTAAAAATGTCACTTGTTCTAGCTCTAGATGTTTTAGTGATTGTTGCACGAAGACTGTAGACAAGTGAGCATCTACAAATCAGTCATGTTTTTTTTCTGTATGACTGGTTGCGTGTTCTGTTAAAGATAAGACTACATAATCAGTGTTTCTGCATTTTTACAAGTTACAAATAATATTTCGTCATTGGTTTAAAAAAAATTGATAAATAATATTTTTTTTTGTCTGAATGTTTTTTGTTTTTTTTGCTAGAAATCATTCGTTGTGAATTAGTTGCATCTGATGTATATATTTTGCATATTTTAAAGACCAAAATCAGTTTGATTAATTTGTTTCAACCACACTTGGAAATCGAATAACTACATAGCTAGTTTTATTCAATTTTACTAGTACAGAAAATATAATAATTTAAAAATAAAATGACTAAATTTTTTTGCAGGATCACAGATTGGTCTTATCTTCACCAGTTATAGACATTCTTGTTTGTTTGTTTGTTAATTGGTTGTATTGTATTCTAGTCTGAACCGCCTCTTGTCTTGCATCCTTTCTCCAGCTGACCTCTCTCAAACAATGCAGTCTGTTAATAAATAGTGTAACATATCTGTTCATAATGAAGAACTGGATAACTTCTGCCAGGACAATAATTTTTATATGTATCGCTTGTTCATCGTTTAGTATTTTTTTTAGATCAACTGCCGTGAACATGTGACTAGTTCAAATAATGTAAGCGTGAAAATAACTAATCTGATTGTAAAATTGACAACAAACATTCCTTCTGTTAAGGGCTTGCTCATGTGCACATGTACTTCATGTGCACCAAAAATGTTTTCCCACAGTGAAAAGATGGTGACGTAATTTGAATAATTTCATTTTGGTTAACGGTAATGTCGCTATCACATGATCTATACTGATAAGGAATGGGATTTCTGGAGATTGGTGCCACACTTATCCGGAGCAGACTAGTTTTCATGCATTGTGTAACTCCTTGTAGCTATGATTAAATCTGCTTGTCTGTCGTATTGCACTTTTTATTTAACCCTGTAATGAAAACCATGCTGTGTCATACTAATTATTACTGTACATGTTTTGGCAGACTCATCGGAACGGAGCGGAGGTAGTCCGTCATTCCGACCTCTACCTGTCATCCAACAACAACCTTCAATATCAGCGCCAGCGCCGCCACCCCCTCCCCCACAACAAGCAGCTGTCAGTCAACAATACTGTCAACAACCACAACCACCACAGCAGGCATCTACTTATCAAATGTCACAGACTGGCAGTCAGGTGACCTGGACTCAGACTGGTTCCATGGCAACTGGTGTTGGAAGTTCTACAGGGCTTCCGCAAAGCGGCGCTGTCTTGTATGCAGCGCCTAATATTGAATCTGTGCCTCCAGGAAGCATTCTTATCAATCCACAAACAGGTAGGCTGCCGATGTTGATTTCATCTCGAGTGACTACTTACCTAGTCTCTACGGCACTGCTATCTCATTTCAATAATGAAAATACTCATCTTGCTTAGTTGACCCAGTTAATCATTCTTTTCCAGAAAAACAACATCCTTGATGTACACAAATTTAAGCTTTGTTTCTCTACCTAGGTACGCCGTATCTTCTTGCCGATGGCTCTCCGATGGTATATCAGCCACCACTGCCACACCAAAATGTTACTAGTCCATTACAACAAGCGCAGTCACCGACGCAACCAATACAACAACAGCAACCATCTATGCCTCCATACTCGCAGTACTCTCAACTTAATATGCTTGCAGCATCTCAGATGCAGCGGTCTTATTCAGGGGTTTGTATGCAATCTATCTATAAAATCAGTAATTGTTTTTTTTCTCAAAAGACCATGACTAAGTATGAACTACAATTATCAATATTTAAGTGGCTCAAATCAAGATAAAAAACTGTCAAACAAAACACTAACATCTGTTGTTTTTGTTCATTTCTTATTCATACAAAGCCTCTCAACGCAGCGCACTCATATTAAATATTTGTATGGCTCTTCTTAAGGCATGATTCATGTTGTTTTTTACCCTGTAATAACAAGTTTGCGTCTCTCTGTACAGGACTCACAGGGTAGTATGCAGGATATGGCAAGTCAGATGCATGGTATGAGTCTAAGTCGTGAGCCGTCCAACGAGAGCACTGGTGAAATGGTTCCTCAACAGCAGATGATGTCGCCGCCACAGCAACCATACATGAGTGGACCGTACATGCGTCAAGGAGGTGTGATGGGATCTGGATATTCTGGTCCAAGTGGTGCTCCTGCCCCTCCACCTCCCCCGCCTCAACAGCAGATGATGCCGCCGGCTCCTCCCCAACAGACGTATAATGTACAACAAAGCCCACAGGTTTGTTGTTATTTTCTGTGAGAAATTTTAGTATTACAAATTGCTTACCTAATCTTGCTACTTTCTACAGAATGCACTGTAGGACTGCTTTCAGTATAAAACTATTTAATGTAGCACAGTTTGCATATTCAACATCATAGCTTGATATTAATCCAGTCTCATCATATGTATGTGTGCATGTTTGTTTGTTTGTAGACAATGTACTCTTCTATACCTCAGGGCCAGATGATGATGCCCTCTCCACTGTATCATTCAACAACTCAAACTCAGTACTTGCAACCGCAGCAGCCACCACCACCACCAAGTCAACAGCAGCAGGCAACACCGCAGATGCATCAAGGAAACCAACAACAGCCAATGATGCCACCTCTGCCACAAGCTGGAATGCCGGTTATGTACCAGAGTCAAGCGCAGAGCCAGGGACAAGCATTGGTGAGTCCCACGCAACAGTTTTCAACAGTATCGCAATATGGACAAAATTATCAAAATATGCCTATGATGGCTCCGCCTCCTCCACAGCAACAACAGCAGCAACCACCACCGCAGCAACACTCTCATTTGATGCAGCAGTCATCTTTTGATTCACCACAAGTTGCCACACATGCTGCAGTTCAACAACAGCAGCATCATCAACAGCAGCAGCAACAACAACAAGCAGCGGCTCAACTGCCTCCTGTACAAATGCCAGTGTACTACCAACCAATGCCGACAAATACGGCTGGGCAGCTGATGGGCTTCTCACACTTACCGCAGGACGGGAGTATGACACGGCCTGTGACGCCACCACAGGTACTCGCTGGCCATTCGCAACACCCATCAACGCAGGGCATGTACAGCTTTGCGTATGCCCAGCCGAGGGCACAGTCTCCCCAAGCAGCTATGAGTCTACAGTATCAGACAAGTATACCGTCAACCACTCCCCCACAACAACAACTGCCAGCACCGCCGCCGCCCCAACAGCAATCAGGACTATCGCAGCACCAGAGAAAGGTTTACAGTGTCGATCATCGGCCACCTAAATCAACAGAGCTATATAATCCGGACACACCGTTGTCTAGAGGGGGTAGTGGAGATGCTTATCAGCAGTGTGGGGTAGGCAGTGGTGGTGGTGGACATAGTCCATCTGGATCATCGCCAGTTCAGAGTCCAGATCCTGGGTCTGTCCCCCTACAACAACAGCAACAACAACAACCACTATCCAGGAATACTAGCAGTGCTTTGCAGGGTAAAACAGGTAATGTTTTGAAAACTTACACATTATTGATTTAAATAATTAAATTTAAATAACCATTTAAATAACGTTTATACCTTACTATATGTATTCAGCTAAGGTCATAATACTTGGCAGTGAATGCAACTACAAATTTGATTATATCATTTTTGTCATGTTCAATGTGTGTCTTGTCTTGAGTGACATATACAACCTGTGTATAAAACACGATAGTGTTTGTCTACATGACATTTTAATGCTAGCTGTAACTTTTTTGATAAAGGAAATCACAATCTTCCAATTTAGCCTGTTTGGTTTCGCTTGTCAACATTTTATAATTGGACCATTTATAAAATGGACTTCTAATCAGTATTGTGCACCCAACATTATTTTTGCTATACATGCAAAACAATGAAGTATTACTCGTACATACCAAGCGTCAGTTGTATCTACATCTCGAATAATAGCTAAAATAATGTATAATGTACATACATGCTCATGCTTGATTTTCGGTTTTCGGTTTATTTCAGGTCAACGACCTTCAACTTATAACCAGCCCAAGGGCAAAATCGCAAAGACAGCGACAAAAGGAAAACTACGTAAAATACAGCAGTTGGACAGTATGGCGTTACAAGAGACTTCAACCGCACAAAGTAAGAATATGTTTATTGGATGAAACGTCTTACCATTTTCCCGCTGGTCGGTTTTATTTTGTTCATTTTGCATTTTTATACTGCATGCAGCATCACATTTTATTTTGTGTTTTGTGTCAAGTTTTATTGGATGATGTTCTGCCTGTTCGTGTAAATAAAAAAATTTAGCCACATGTATATGCTGCTGTGTGTAGTATGGGACCAACAAATGTGATCACAATGACTATGCATGGTCTCTAAAATGTTGCAAAACTGAAGCAGAATCAACCATGTTAAGGTGCCGTTGATCAGTGAAAATGCAGTATGAAAAGCACAAGTCGTTCAATTTGAGGGAAGGGGGTAGAACCCTGAAATTGAATAGCCACATTTAATTCTGCCCATGGCACTGTAAAACTGTAAAGTACTGTAAAACATGTTGAAATATCTGCATATTTATTATTGAATTAATAGAATCTTAATTTATCTAAAGTGTCAACTATCTGATTGTGAGAATATACTTTCTGTTAAATTAGCTACATCTTGAATTAACGATATTAGATTAGGTAAATTAGGCATACTAACATGCTTGCTAAAAACACACCTTTTACAGTACTTTCTAGTTAATAACACTTTTCAAGTCAGTATTTATATATATATATATGGCCACTTACCAAGGATAGTAAAAGGTACTCACAGGTTAATAACAACCATAAATAAAATATTGCAAACTATTAATCTTACAGGTACGGCAAACACGTTAGACATTTGCAACATTCCAGAAGGCACTCAGCGAAAAGATACAGAGACATTATTCGAAGATCTTGTTAAAGCAGGTGCTGAAATAAGATGGATACCAACAGGAGAGGATAGTTCTGAGAACAAAGAAAGTGATGTGAATGCAGATGAGAAAACGTCCAGTTACAACATTGTGGCAATATTTAAGACTGCTGAAAGTGCCCAGTCCGCACTTAGTAGTATACCAAATGCAAAATATACGTTACGACTCGCGAGTAAGCAGTATGAATTCAAAGGAGTGGCTTCCTCTACATGAGAAGATATTTTTTATAGAGAAACTTCATTCTTAGAATACAATACAAGAGAAAAAATTTGGAGATGTTTGTCTGGGATAAAAAAACTTAACTGTTTGATTTTGTTTCCAAAACTGAACACAACTTGTGCTTCTTAACTGAAGAGAAAAGTATTTCTGATGAAAACTAACTAGTGATTAGTCTCACAAACTCAAAAACACTGATGGCTTGAAGCCAAGGCAGAACTAAAAATGCTTATAACAGTCAGTTTTTCAACACTCATCATTTCAAATATAGATGTCATCCTGTTCCTACTGGTCTGCCTTTTTTCTATAACTTTATTTTCTCCATTTCGTGTTTAAAAAAATATAATAGTCTTTTTTTCTTCTTCATATCTTCAAACCATGTACATTCTACAGACTGAGGGTAAGGGGCCATGTCAGCAACACAGCTGAATAAACAAGATGGCGGCATTTGAGATTACAGTGGTTTGTGCAAATGACTGCCTAGCATCGTGTAGAAATAGACATAAGAGGTTGGAGTGTGCTGAATATTCATCAACTTAAGTGGCCATACTAGAAAAAATATTCATTAGTTTCTGTGGACAGTATACATTCTGAGTGAAAAATATTTCTCCAACTCTGGCGGCCATATGTGCGTTGCATTTTCACCAACATGTCCTAAATGTGTTGAATATTCACCAACATGTCCTAAATGTGTAGAATATTCACCAACATGTCCTAAATGTGTAGAATATTCACCAACATGTCCTAAATGTGTAGAATATTCACCAACATGTCCTAAATGTGTAGAATATTCACCTGCTTGGGTGGCATGAGATTAAAAATATTCTCCAAACTAGAGGGCCTGATTATTGTAGCAAAAACATATCAAATCTGCCCCATGCAAGTATTCAAATTAGGAAAAAATGATTATTCATCAAAGTATTACAGGGATTTTAGATGCACAAGAATTTCTGATCTTCCTGATGGTGTTGAATATCAAATATGTGGTACAGTTTAGAACTGGTCTGTCAGGTAGTTATAGTCCAACAATCAATTGTGTGATGAAGAGCCTGGATAAATGTCAATATGGTCTCTTTTCCTTGACCCCTGGACCTGGACATTTGGCTGGAGAGCTTACCGACTTGATTTGTGTTTACTTTGATAATAATTTAGTATGACTGGTAGAAATTAAGTTTTGCACTAAACAAAAATGATTGGTTTATTTTTTTAAATTTTTGTCTTTAAAACTGATTAATTGTAGGTTTTTTTATTTTTAATTTCTTAATTTGATTTTGTGTTCCAAACCACTGCCTTGCAGCCCTTCCCATAGAGTGTCAAATTGAGAATACTTCCCGTCCTCCTCAACTTGTCCCTCCATTCATTGGGCTAAACCATTACCAGGTCAGGGCTGCTCAGCTTTACATATTGACATTTATTCAAATTGATTAAAATTCAAATTAACAATCTGAAGTGTTGAGTAGCTTCAGTGCATCGGGTAAGGTGTGAGTATTACTGCAATCTACACTTGCACTCCACACAACCTTGTCTGACACCCCTGCAATTACTTGGACTGTACTATTCAAATGGTAGGGGGGGAGACAATATTGTGATGGAGCAGTGTGTCATAGATAACTCGTGATGTCATATCCTGTTATGCTATTATATGATGTCATATCCTATTATGTGATGTCATATCCTGTTATACTATTATGTGATGTCATATCCTGTAATGATCTGTTCTCAAAAATATTGAAATCAATTATGTTATTCTGAAGTTAATATGAAATAATTTTTTTTTTTAGATATTTTTTTTTAATTAAAAAAAACACTTTGAAATTTAGAAGTATTTTGATTTAACCATGGAGATAAAATTGGCGTTTTTTTCAGGCCATGCAAATGAAATGTGTATACTGTAAAGATTTGGTCTCAAATCCTAATGCATTTTTGTATCATGCACAGGGTTGTTTATTTATTTATTTATTTATTTTAGCTTTTGGAATTTATTTTAAAACCTTTTTTTAAATTTAGATTCATCAGTACAGTTCATGTATGTTTTGTAAAAAAAAATTTATGTCGGCCATGATTACTCTTTGCAGGAGGTAATTATGTAACTATTTGTTTATGCTTAAAACTGGATAAGATAATCTTCAAATAACATGATGCTGATTAACATCACAACTTACCTTACCAAGGTAATTATTTTCACAACTTGAAAAACCATAGGTAATGACATCATTAGATAGCCCTAGGTAATAATGTCACAACTTGAAATAACCTTGTGTAATGACATCATTAGATAGCCCTAGGTAATAATGTCACAACTTGAAATAACCTTGTGTGATGATAACATGGCCTTAGATGGTTCACGATAATGATGTCACAACTGTAAATAACCCTGGGTAATGACATTGGATAGCCCTGAGTAATGATTTCACAACTTGAAATGACCTTGTGTGATGAAATCATGGCCTTAGATGGTCCACGATAATGATGTCACAACTGTAAATAACCCTGGGTAATGACATTACATAACTCAAGGCAGTGATGACATCATTAGAAGGCCTTGAGTAATGATTTCACAACTTCAAATAACCATGAGAAATAGCTTTGTGGCTTTAGATTGTCCTTCATAATGATGTCAAAACTTGGGATCAATGGGTAATAACACTGTCTAGCCCAAGGCAATGATGCCCAACTTGAAATAACCACGAGTGATGACATCATTAGAAAGCCCTGGGTAATGATGTCACAATTTGAATTAACCCTGGGTAATGACATGACCTTAGAAGGCCCTGGGAAATGATGTCACAACTTAAAATAACCACGAATGATGACATCATTAGAAGGCCCTGGGTAATGATGTCACAATTTGAATTAACCCTGGGTAATGACATGGCCTTAGAAGGCCCTGGGAAATGATGTCACAACTTAAAATAACCACGAATGATGACATCATTAGAAGGCCCTGGGTAATGATGTCACAATTTGAATTAACCCTGGGTAATGACATGGCCTTAGAAGGCCCTGGGAAATGATGTCACAACTTAAAATAACCCTGGGTAATGACATCATGACTTATTGAAATAATTCAAATACATGTACATGTTGTGTTAGCATCAGTGAAAAAAACGTTGTTTTTCATGTGTCAAAGTACATTAATTTGAATGTATGTATGTTTCTTATCAAAATTTGTCTTATTTGTCAATATATGCTTTTGTTTCCACGGCAACAAACACTGCCATTCAACAGATTTCATGGCAATATGAAAGCTTTGTTATTGTGTGCCAAAAATCTAGGATAGTTTTGTTATGCTTTGTTGATAGTTGCATTATCTGTGTAAGTTTTTTTAAATCATGCCATGTGTAGAAAAACTGTAAAAGGCGAATACTTAATCTTTGTTAGGTCAAAGGTGGTGTTACTACATTTGTTTTAGTCACTCCCCCAATTCTTTGTCTATATTGCCATTTGTGTCCTGTAAAAAAAAAAATGAAATTCAACAACAAACCAGCCCTTTGTAAAGTAAAACTTCTATAGGAATTGTATGCAACATTGCAAACATTTTTACAAAACATAAAATCATTAGGTTGGAGATCTGGTAGCAGTATAGATCAACGATGAAAAAAAAAAAGATCAGATATTTTTGCAGTCTGTTTTTTTTGTGATCAAAATAGCAATTTTCATGTAGTTAGACATAATTATGCAATAGCCTAGAGTTGTATTACCATAACAACCATAATCTTTCCATCGCTGGGTGTTTCTCTCAGATCTAACCAGTCCTTTTCTCATCTACTCAGTTGGACATTGAGGGTGCTAAAGCATATCACTGCAGTTGTGCATAATCTGCCATAGAGGGCGCTGTATTGTGAAGGCTTCCTGAATTTCCATCATGTCGCCCACCCACCCACTAATATCTAATGCATTGTAGCTGCTGCGTAATTTTTTTAGGTAGTGTGAAAAATAACATTAATACCTTTTTTTCAAAAAATTTGTTTCCCCCCCCTTGTAAAGGAGTCTGAGGAAATACCCAAAAATTTATTTTGTGTGCAATGTACAAATGAATTAAATTATTATGGACTGAAACGTTGATATTGTCTATGGTTCGTTTCTTATTAAAGTGTTGGTATCTCAAGCTGCAGCCCATAATTTTGTTTTTGTAGAGATTGGTCGTATTTTAGGAAATGGTAAAATGACAGTTATATAATTAGATCCAATTTATTCACCAAACATAAATCCCCTCTACATGTTCAAATCTATGTCCGACACTTTTTTCATCGAAAATGATTAAATATTAACGGACCAAAAACATTTTGACATGATTAAGTACACCTGGAGACCTCACACTTCAAATTTCTCAGTTACAGAAAGTGCCAATATTTAAATTTGGTCTTTGTCCATGGATCATAGTTCTTGTTTTTGCGTGATCAAGTTACATGATACTTAATAGGACAAACTTGTTATCACAACGTGTGCTGAAAGTTCCACGCATGTGTGTAGCGTGTATATTGCAGTAAATTTTCTTTTGATCAGAATTACTACGTCGGCAGTAATTTGGGAATCCATCTGTGTTGGGAAAACAAGACAGCAGGTAAGATTGTGTATTCTATGGTGCAAAAACAGACAAAGCTGCTACAAAATGTTGTCCTTGCTGATGGTGATTTTATTGTAAAACAATAACTGTGTTTCAGTGAAATATTAAAGTATTAATATAGATGAGTACAACTTTGTAAATCACTAACTTCCTTGGAAAGTAGAAAAATGAAACGGATTGCGAGGCAAGTCGAGACATCCCCCAAAAAAGTACATGAAATTACATCACTAATTGTTCCATACTGAGATTAAGCAGTTTGATTGAGACAAACCGGAGATGAGGCATTGAAATATTGAAAAAAAAACTGAAAAGCAGTAACAAATTATTAAACAGAGTTGATGAAATGTTGTTTTTTTTGTCTGCGCATTGAATGCATTTGAGGTTTTACATAACTAACAGCGTCAGGTCAAATACAATAGTGAATTTACCCTATCATACTGATCAAAGTTAAAACAATGTTATGCAGCCTCAAACTCTATTGCATTTCACAAACACTGCTGAAGATACAACCTGATCTTAGCAACCTCGGAGGTGGAGCCCACGACTTTACCCCAGAGCTTATCTACTTGCATTCTGAAGATTAGTTTGAATGGATCCGACGAATGCTCTTCACATTTCATCCACATAGCCATGTTTTCTTCAGTGGTCAAAGTGATATAACGGGTATAAAATACTGTAACGATAGGTCATCTTGGATCAAGAAAAAGTGAATAACTTTGTTGTGCACAATATCTGGAGAAAAAAACAACAACAGAGAAACCCTTAGTATTGAGTGATGGTTGTTTCATCTTCTTTTCCCCATAGAAACTCCTCTTTGAAGTTAAAACAAATTCCATGTACTCTCATAATGTAAAGATATTTAAATTGGATATCAACATGGTACGGTGTACTCCTAAGAACACATGTAGTCAATCCACACTTGTGTAAAGACCTAGATACGTCTACATGTACAAAGTAGCTAGTTTAACACAACAGTTAGGAAATAAGCCACAATCAGGGATGGGAATGAGAATTTTAATTTTCAGCTGAAAGTAAAGTAGCCTGGGTCACCAGTTACCACTTCATCTTTCACAATTCAAAGTCAAAGTCACTTCCTTGTCAAGCAATGCCCAAAGAAATTTTTTCCTAATGTCTTTATCGATTTCTTGCACGGCTGACTCGTTGTCTTTTGTAACCAATTTCACCATTATCGCAGCATGAAACTTGTAAACAACAATCCAGTGCTGCTAATTGAAACAATGAAATGGCGCCGTTGGTGTATGGGTTTCGACCATCAGTATACAGTATCAGTATACAGGCCTCTCTGTTGCAGGCAACAATGACCCAACAGCGTGTTTACTTCAGGTGAATAAACAAGATCTGTATTCTTATCCCCCCCCCCTCTAAAGTGTTTTCCTTGAATTCAGACGTTTCAGAAAATCAACCCCTGTGGGCTCAGAAATCCACAGATTCGCGGGAAAATTCTCATCCCTGCACAATATAGAAGGCATGATTTACCTACACTAATACTGTATTTTCTGTTATTATTAGATGAAACCGTGAGCACCAAATTTCAAGACTATTTATTAATTGCTTTACACCAATATAAATATTTCTTATCAGTGGGCTAAATCTTTGTCCTGGGGTTTACATATAACTTGACATTCACACCATCTTGCATCTTATTCACCTTCCTGAACTTGCTATGAAATAAAATTTTAACTTTAAATGCAATTCCTACATTACAACAGCAGTGAAACGATTAACAATACTCACTACAAATCACTTTACTTGGGTTCATCTGTTGCCCAATTAGGAAATTAGAAAATTTTTTAATATCAATTCTGGCAGACACAAAGTTCTGCGATTGACCATCCTGACTGATTTCGTACTGAGACTCTTCCAATTCACCGTCTTTATCTGAAAGAATATTAAACTTTATCATACATGTATACCTCTTATTGCCCCGGCCGTTGCAACGCTATGGCAAGTGCGCCCTCACACCAGGGTAATAATTTCCCGTATCACGCCTGGCCAGCGCGCCCAGCTTTCATCAATCAAAACAAAACACGTCATTATAAATTACATTGTGTGTTTGAGGTCCTGTCATGGTAAAATTGTAATTACTCCTACAAGACATATGATAAAACCTTTATTGACTGGATATGGCTTTAGCTGCCCTCGGTCGTACGACTTACGTGCCCTCACAAGCTTCCGCCACATGACCTGGGACCACAAAAACCATATCTAGTCCATAATGAATAGTGTCAATTTGAGAGGAATTCCTGTGAAATATCAACAAAGATGCTTCAAATTTCCAGCCACCCTTTTTCCTCACCAGATTAATACATATACTTTCACGTACCAAAGTTTGGCCTCTCCCGAACTTTGTCCAGGTGGGGGCTAATTAATGTTCACCCATATATAACACTTTCCGAACAACAATGGATATTGTGAATTCAGTATGGACGCTGTTAAAAGTATTTCCACCCATGCTATTTCAACAAAAACAAATTCCCTTAGTCTGTCATTTTTAGCACTAAAATAGTGATCATAATTATAAAGTGAGGGAAAAACTGTCATTTTCAATTTAATTTTTAAATTTTCATAGTTGCCAGCCGGAAAATATTTAAAGTAGCCGGTGAATGAAGGAAGGAAGGAATGAAGGAAGAAATAAATAAATAAAGAAACAATGAAATAAAGAAAGATAAAGAGAGAAAGGAAGAAAGAAGATTATTTAGCAAGGCTTACACACAATCTACCCATATTTTTCGATTTGTATTTATGACATGAAAGCTGCATATTTGTCACATTCATGTCAGGCATCTCTTTCATGAATACATGTGCCAAACACAAATGCAATATTGGGGAATGCAAATAATAACACAAATCTGAGTTACATGAAAGCTGTGTGTGGATCACTTACTCCATGTTGGATTGGAAAGGTCTCTAAAATGTGTTGTAACAGACACCATGTCAGTCTCCACACTCAGATTCATCTCACCATTGCCATTACCAGAGAGAATCTGAAACAAAAAAAACACAATTGGGATACCCAGTCTTCTCACTGGACATGAAACATTTGCCTCATGATTTAATTTTTTTATCTCAGACTTTTTTACTTAGACAATTCATAAGCGTAGAATAAAATTCAAACTTAATAAACATTTGATTTCTATCGCTAGTTCCACATAGATAAGTAATAGTCTCATCTGTTTTGAACTGATGGAACAATTTCACCACATGTGAAAACACTGACTATCAGGACATGCATCACATCACTGATTCTAAAGACCCATTTCACCAATATCTCAAAGCAATCATGTGTCAGACACAAAAACACTGAACTGCACTAAGATTATATACACAAGTTCGGGAGAGATTGCAGAAAATTTATCATGGACACAAGAAATTAATGATGATCAGGGTTTTTTCTAGAAAAAAACTGCAGAAGGGAGCACCGCAATTTAGCCGCGCCACCAAGTGGAGGAGATATGGTTCTCCATACCAGTGTGTGGAGCTCTTGATAATTCTAAGTTAAAATGGAGCATTCTATGGCTTCCTTGGGGTCAAAATTACTATCAGACAAGTCACAGTTGTAGACTGTGGCCATATGTGATCCCTTGTCAATCAGAATCGTGATATTTGTGATGATAAAATTGCGAAAGTTTTCGGTGTTGGTGCCCTCAAGCCTCATCAGGTACAGGCAATCGACGCAGTTTTGTGTGGAAAGGATGTCTTCATAGCGACAAAAACAGGAAGTGGAATTTTGTTTTATAATTTGTTACGTCCAAGCTTATTGGGCGCCTTGTTTCGAGACGCGCACAATCAGATCTCCCTGCTTAAGATACGCAATTAGCCTATGCGATCCCGCACGGTATCGTGTAGAGGCCTATAGGTCGAAGACACAGGACCGTGCGATTCGGACGATGAGGTACAGCATCATCAGTCAGTTTCTGTGGAAATGGGGGGGGGGTGATTTTAGCTTGCGCAATTTATTCACTGGTTTTCCTGGTTCCCAGTGTTCTGATGAGCTATTGAAAGTTTACATGTTAAAATCAACCCCCATAATTTACCATCATACTTTCTGCCTTATCAGAACAAATGACTGATTTCAAATTGAGAATGCCTCTGACTGTGCGTGCAATCATATGATTTTAGCAGCTGACTGACTTTTCTTGCTTCAGCTACTGTGAGACTTGCACAGATCGCATACATTCCTGACAACAGTGTTCCTTACTAACCACATAACTACTAAGATTCTTCATTCTGTCGATGACGTTACGCAGCAGTCGTAGCGGTGGCATGTAAATACTGATCTAAAAATATAACAGAGGTGGGAACAAAAATCAATAATCAAGTATTTTATAGTTATCCTTCATTCGTGCTAATTTAAGGTGTAGTTATGTGAGCAAAAAGTACAAGGATTTATAGGATAAAGGTATGCAAGCTGAATATCTATGTATGCGATGAATATCTCACAAAATCTAATGAGTTCAATGTGGATGTAAATCCAAATGCATTATAACCAATAGCATCACAGTAAACATCTGATGCTTAGAAATATTACCGGTATGTTTTGATAAACGTATCCTTAATTGAGATATTGTTCGTGATACAATAAAGTTAAATGTTGTAAGTTAAAAATTAAAAAACAATTAGAAAAAAAAAAAAAAAACACAAAACAAAACAAAAACATTTTTTTTTTTTTTTTTTGAGGCAGCTGGTAATTTAAATTTAATGTAGTTTTCTCTCATTAAAAGCCGTAGTATACAAATTTGGCTAAATTAATTAACATGTTTTTATCCTTCGTTTTAAGTATATTTACTAGTTTTTCTTCTTTGTTTTGTTTAGTGGGTGTTGCAAACAATTTGTTTAAGCAGTCTTAAAAATGTTTTTCATCCTCAATCTCCCCATTCTGGCAAATTTGACATTTGCTGCCTTGTAATGCATGGTTTGTGTAAACTCATGTATGCCAGGTTATCACCATTTACAATCAAAGAAAGCTTAAAAAGAACTCCCATGTGCTGAGAGTATTGGAGACACATTAAAAATAATTCAAAATTATTTGTACTTGATTGAGATAGTGATGGAAAAGCTGAAAACTAATAATGCAAATCAGAAAATTAATATTTGAATGTAAAACGAATGAGGTCTGTGCAATGTAACAGACCATCTATGTATCAAGTTTTATTGAAATGTGATTGGAACTAAAAACAAGCAGCCTCTTGGCTGAGATAGCTCCGCTGTTAGCAATGCACATTTCAATTAAAGAACAGAAGATATCATTAGAAAATGAACAATATGCATAGTATCAATACAATGGGACTTGCTGTTTTCAACAAGAATTAAAAAATATCATTTTTCACCATAAATGATTGTGGTTTTTAACAAGAAGAAAATATCACTTTTTACCAAAAATGACAAAAATATTCATCAAAATTAGAGAATTGAAGATATCATCATGAAATAAACATACATGTATTTGAGAGTGGTCTACATGTAGTATCTATATATGTAATATCAAAGCAATTGGACTTGTCGTTTTTAACAAGAAGTCGAAAATATCACTTTTTACCAAAAGTAACAAAAATATTCACCAAAATCAGAGAATTAACAATATCATTACAAAATGAACAAATCTGAGAGAGATCCACATGTAGTACCTATATATGTAATATCAAAGCAATTGGACGGTTTTTAACAAGAAGTCGAAAATATCATTTTTTACCAAAAATGACAAAAATATTCACCAAAATTAGAGAATTGAAGATATGATCATGAAATGAACAAATCTGAGAGAGGTCTACCCAAGGTACATATACACCAAGTATCAAAGCATTCAGGCTTGCAGTTTTCAAGAAGAAGTCGAAAAAGTATAACATTGACACGGACGACAAAGGACAATCACTCATATAATAAACTCCGCTCGACAAAGTCGACAGCGGAGCTAAAAATTATGAATTATTTTGCTAATTAGGGAATTAATATAAACAGATTTTAACCCCAAACTAATCAGGTTTGTACATTGTCCTAGAGCATCTTTGTACTAAGTTTCATTGAAATGGAATAATTAGTACCTTAGATATCAGTGTGATAGCTTAAAAGTGGTTAATTATGCAAATTAGTAATTAATATGTACAGATTTTAACCCACAATTATCCAGGTCTGTCTATTGTGCTACAGCATCCATGTACAAAGTTTCATTGAAATGTGATGATTAGTACTTGAGAAATCAGTGTGAAAGCTGAAAATTAATTAATTATGCAAATTAGGTAATTAATATGCACAATTATTTACCCTGAAACTAATCAGGTCTCTGGATAGTCCTGAAGGATCTATGTACCAAGTTTCATTGAAATGTGATGATTAGTACTTGAGAAATCAGTGTGAAAGCTGAAAATTAATTAATTATGCAAATTAGATAATTAATATGCACTGATATTACCCTAAAAACTATCCGGTCTGTGTAGTGTTCTATGACATCTATGAAATGTGATGATTAGTACTTGAGATATCAGTGGAAAAAACGAAAATTGACTAATCATTATGCAAATTAGGTAATTAGTAATTAGGTAATTTTTACCAAATACTGTTCAAAACCTAGCATTAGTTTAGAGCATCCATGTACCAAGTTTCATCAAAATTCAATGAGTGGTTGTTTAGATATCAGCCATAAAACAGCTAAAAATTAGCTAATTATCATGCAAATTAGGTAATTAATATGTACAAATTTTTACCAAAAACTTATCAAATCTGCGCACGCACAAGTTCAGAGCATCTATATACCAAGTTCCATCAAAATCCAATGAGTGGTTATTTAGATATCAGTGGAACAGTCATGGAACAGCTAAAAATCAGCTAATTATCATGCTGATTAGGTAATTAATATGCCTGGAATTTTACCAAAACCTAATCAAATCTGCGCATTGGCCCAAGGCTTCTATGCACCAAGTTTCATTAAAAACTGATGTACGGTTTTTGAGATATCAGTGGAACAGACGGACACACATACATACACACACACATACACATACACACACACACACACGCACATACAGACACACTAACTGCAAAGACTCCCATTTCGTGCTTCGCACATGGGAGTCAAAAATGCAACCCCCACACACACTTTGGGAATTAGCAAGGATACATCAAGACGAACAAAATCAGTTCTTTCACAGACTCACTCATTTGCATTTTTGTATTTCTAGAAATGTATTTTGAGATACCTCTCAACTTGAATTGCACACCCACATTTTATAAATCTTTGAATAGAATAATTCTGCTAAGTTAGACACTCAATCAAATTAGAATAAAACAAATATCAAGCCTATCTATACGTACCTCAATAATGAGTCAATGCTATTAAAATAAATTTGAATATATCTACCGGGGTAACAGTGATTTATTCTAACTTACATCAAATTCTGGCATTGGTGGTTCTTGATAATCCTCCCATAGTCTTCTGGCAATGACATTGACCGGTACATCATGTACTACATTACGACTAGAAACAGACAATGACGGCTGAAAACAAACACAATCGTAATCAAGAATAGAAGTGCATTTCTAGTAGAAGAACGTATGTACCATCAATTTGATTTATTATACACAGGATTATTGACTTATTTTTACCATAGACAAACCTCTATGCACTATTAATATAATAGTTACCTCCATGAGGTGTAGCTTTCCCATCCCAGTGTGCATTTTAAAAGGAAGTGGTGTTGAGAAACCCACAGGCATGATAAAGAGACTCCACTTTTTTGTGATCAGAACCATTAGGAGAGAAGAGTTGGCTGGTTTCAGGGTAAACACATGGGAAATCATGAGACAAATTTTGCTGCATATCGAGAGTCAAAGAATTTCATTCATTTCATTTACACAGGATATTTATAGTAATTTTTGTGTAAATTATTTTAAATTAAAATATTTTTGATTTACTATATCCGACAATGGAATCAAATAATCTTCATGTATCATTCAAAAATACGGTAAACAAGATTAGGAATGTTAAAGTGCCTGTGAAATGGCTGCTATTTTCACGCCTAAAATTATTCATTGATACATAAATATTACGGTACCGTATTAATTTTTATGTTTCTAAGCATAAATAATTTTTTTTTAAGTGAAAAAATGTGTTTTTAACTCAGTCTACGGAAACTTTATTTTTGTGTATTTTAAAACGAGGCTCCTCATTAGCTTCTCATTTGCATACAA